TTTAGCAGAGAGTGAGGCAACTGCTATACATGTGAGTACTTATTGCTTTATATTGAATAAAACTTGTGTATTGCAATGAATAAAATCACTCACCATGTCTAGGGCAGGAATTTGTATTACAACGTTGTGATATTGCTGGTTTTAAACGCATATTACAAATATTGGATGGTGATCTCTTCTTAACTTCTAAACACCTTACTTCCCTAATTTGAACACCACCACCGCATGGCCTAGTGCACTGTGGAGAAAATAAACAGAGGCTATTAACAAATAAATACATCTCCTCTGATTGTCTTGGGCATAAACCAAGACAAACCTCTAGATGGCATGTTTTCATGTGTCTAAGAAACATCAACCCCAGACATTGAACATAACAGAGGTGAGTTGAGAGGTTGTTTGAAAGGTATTTCGGCTTCCTGCATTCAACGTCTAAATCACTCGACTGTTCCATCGGTTGTAGATGCACTAAATGTTAATGTTTTAAAGTATTTGGTGTTTCACAGTGTTTGCTGGAGCTTTTAATTGTGTAAAATAAAAATGATATAATTTTTTAAAATAATTTTTTTTGTATTATAATATATCTTGTATAATATTCTTGTATTGAATATTTACTGATTTTGTAATATATAACACTTTCAGTTGTACAGCTGCACGTATACATCAGTATAACAATGTATTCAATACAAGTACTGTATTCAAACAAATTTTATAATTTATTGTTTCCTTAGCTTTTAATGCAGGGAAAGATTTAACTTGACTAACCTTTGACCAGGATGAGGAGTACCATAGTACTTGTGCATTTGGGAGTGCATAACATACATCTTTCTGACAATGTTTTGTTAAACTTATAGCAGGTTTTGTTAGATGTCTACATTCAGAATCAGCTGCAGCTCTATACTGCCCTCTATTGTCCAAATAACTACAACTAACAACTCTAGTCAATTTACCAGGTCCACACGTTGCTGAACACTAGTTGATGAAAAAAAAATTACAAAATATTATATCAAAAGGAAAGAGCAAAAACTAGTTATGGAGTGATACACGGAGTAATCCCATATACTTACGAATTTGAATCTTTCATAAGCAAGAAAGGAGGGAGAAATTCAGCATGCAATATTGAGAAGGGGTAGAAATATAGAACAGTCTGTATATCTGATGCAAGGACTAACTCAATGAAGTGAACTTGGTGTAGCCTATATCTTTCGCATCTCACCATGATCTTAGTACATGACCTACAGTCTGTTGGGAAGGGAGAGGGAGGTGCGATACTTTAATAACCTTGACAACAAAAAGTTATATCCTCTAAATCCACACAAACACATTTTGCTCAGTATATTGAAAGTAATATATCAAATTGCTGTAATTCTTGATAACCTAAATTTATTTCTGAGTGTTTAATTTCAGTAAATTGTGAAACTTTCATAGCAAATTCATACATAGACCTCTCTCCAATTAAAAAACACTTTTAATACTGGGTTTCCATAGGCTTTTAGCAGCTTTTGTCTTTAATTAGTATTACTAAGGTAACAGAGAGGTATTCATTTGGGGTCAGAGAAAATTGGTTTTAATTGAAGGAGTATTGTATTTTATTTTGTTTGTTTTATATCTATTTTATAATTTATTTGTCCTTATAAATCATTATTAAATAATAAAACAAAAATCAATGGTACCTCACTCCAAGCTGATATAAACCACTGCATTTTCCTGGGACATTCTTTCACAGGACACTGCTTTCTGACTTGTGGCTTAATGCTGCTTTCGCACTCACTATCTGGTCGACGTCTGTGGTAACCTTTTGTGTTAATACTGTTGCAATTAACGTGACGTGTTTGATAACCAACTCCACAGGTAACGGAACACTGAAAGGCAAAAATTCAGATGTGTAAATTACAAAAGGGAAAGAAAAATTACTTATTAGGCACTTAGAGCCAAGGATCAGTAAGGGAAAATTATACACAAGATGGTTTACATAAATTAAGACATTCTGTGAAAAAATCTCAACTTGATACAGCTATTGGTTCCTTGTAAATTCACTGTACCTTCACATATTGTCATATACTGTGTAATTGGTTCTATTTGATGTTATGAAATATTTGTTTTATGCTTATGTATATTTTATTCCAGTGCAGCTGCAAGCATAGCCTGCGAGGCTTTTTAGATAACCCCTCTTTAATACTGTAGTGCTATTTCCTCCCTGATACGTAGTACACTTGAACATAAATAATTGTGCAATTATTCAAAGCTTTTTTTTTTACCATTATTTTGTATTTTATCATTTTTATTTTATCTTCAAATCCACAATTTTAGTGAACTCATCATCTTTTAATTATCTATTAATGCAATTTAGACCTAACAACTTTTTGTTGTGTTTTTTATACAACTCCCATATCAAATTATAAAAAGTTTTAAAAGTACTTTTTAATATATTTGTATTGTGAGATCAGTTTTAGTAAAAACTGAATTGAATTGAACTGACCAGGAAACAGGCCATGATGAAGCAAAGAATTTGTAACCTAATTAATTTTACTATTCAAATATATGTATAATGATACATATAATACTATAAATGATAATTAGATCTGTAAAATTACATATTATAGTCAATACATATACCTACAAGTAAAAAAAAAAAAAAAAACTAAAAATAAACTTGATTATCATATCACTAATTAAAATA